TGCAGGAAGAGCTCCAGCAGGAAGCCTGACAAACCCCAGCGCTGCTTCACCCTTGCAAAAGGGACACACCTCGCTCAGGCCTGCGGAGCTGCAGACCTCACCATGCAGCCGCTGCCCCGGCAGAGCCGCGGAGACGCACGGGAAGGATGCTTTGGAATCAGGAGCATTCCTAACAATAGCCAGACTGCTCAGTGCCCGAATAGCTGCTAAGCATTTTCAGCCTTTCTGATGGAGCAGAAAGCAAATGTACCTGGTCTCTTCTGGGCTGACAGCACCTATCCATGTCAGGAAACTGCACTAAGGTATGTGTGAAATGGAAGTGGGGACGCACGGGAAGGATGCTTCAGAATCAGCAGGATTCCCAACAATAGCCAGACTTCTCAGTGCCCGAAGAGCTGCTAAGCATTTTCAGCCTTTCTGATGGAGCAGAAAGCAAATGTACCTGGTCTCTTCTGGGCTGACAGCACCTATCCATGCCAGGAAACTGCACTAAGGTATGTGTGAAATGGAAGCTTGTGCTTAGCATGCAAGATGAACAGATCAGGAAAGGTGGCTGGCTTCACATGGAGGAGCACAGCCTTGATGTACACAAACTATTTAGCACTTAAAGGGAAGAAAAATATTTCCTGTTTTGGAAATAAGGTGGTTTAATCACAGCAGAGCTAGCCAGGGACCTGTGAAAAGCCCAGGAGGCAGCTGCGCGTGCAGGAGGCCAACAGCACTGGCACACGCTCCACGCTCTGTCCCTCTGCAGGCACACCAGCTGTCCTCACCCCTGCACCATCCTGTCACATCTTATTTATAGCCACAATTGCAAACAAGTTCTTCCAGTTACCTGAACGTTTTGCCCTGTAGAAGTAACCCAGAGCTTCACAGCAAGCCCATTCCCTGGCATCTAGATTCTGCTCCTGAAAATGCCACCTCCCCGAGGAGCAGCACCTGCAGCTGGGCTGGGTGCAGACCCTGCACGGAGGGAGACGTCCCACTGCAGATCAGGCACCCTGGCATCTCAGCACTCCCAGCGCTTTGCCCTCTGCAGAGACACCCAGCTCCAAGCCTTGAGGTCTGCAGAGAGCCCCACTTTTTTACTAGATCTGATTGTTCCCTTCCATTCTCTGGGTTAAACTTTAGGAGGCACCAGAGGGCAGCTGAAAGCACTGATGAGAGCTTCATCATGCCTAGGAGGGGAGAAAAATAAAGCTAAAGAAATAAGATGAATGCCATATCTTTACCTGCATAACACCTAGCAAATATCAGGGAAGCACCTGAGGTGGGATTTGGAGGGGAAGGACCACTCCAATGATCCCCAATCCAGGAACATGCCGGCTGCGTGTCCTACCTGACGATCACATACATGACGGAGCAGTTGCCCACCAGCCCCACGATGCACACGATGGAGTAGACCACCACAATGGTGATCTTGATGCTGAGCGGCAGGAAGCCGTCCCCCGTGCCGTTGTTGAACCAGTTGCTGGGCAGGAAGCTCAGGTTGAGCATGGAGGAGTCGTTGAGCAGCTTCCTCAGGTCAGGGTCCTCCAAAATATGGGCAGGGAAGAGGGGATCCATCGCGAACCACTAACCTGCGCCAAGGACCTGGGGCAAAGAGACGGTTTGAATATCCGCGAATCAAACAGCCAGCGGGGCTGCAGCGAAGCGTGTGACAGCGGCGGGGCGACAAGGGACACCTCTCAGCAGGGACAAGCACAGCCTCTTCCCCGAGCGCACGGGAATGCGGCGGGAGCGTCCGCGCGCGCGCAGGGAGCGCGCGCCCTTCCCGGCCCCTCCGCGAGCCCTCCCCGCTCACCTGCGCGCAGGCTCCGCGACACGGCGACAAAGCGGCGACAAAGCGACAGCAGCGGCCGCGGGCACCCCCGG